GTAAAGATTCCCATCTTGGATATAGATATTTCAATAAACAGTAATAGTAAAAATGATGCAATACTCTTAGTCATTAAAATGATAGGGCTCCTTAAAAGTCTAACCTCACATGAATATAAGAGACATGTTTACTTCCAACCATATGTGTAATGCCTAAATTCATGCAAGCTATCCTAAAAAATACTCAATTGACTTATTTCATAAATATTTTTTTTTTTTCAAATAAAATTTTAAACATGATTTTTTTTAAATATATGTTTTAAGTCTTTAGTTAAATTTCAAATTCTAAGATTAAAAAAGATACATTTAAGAAATAAGTAATTTTGTTAAATAATAATGTTATTAAATGTGTTGTAAGCATGCTAAATTATTAATATTAATATTATTATTTTGAGAAAATAAGTACCATGTGAGAAACATATACCAAAAAGGAAAAAAAAAGGTCTGCTTCTAATCGAGAGAAATGTCATAATTACAAGAGAGGGGGCTGATTTGGAAGATTAAAGAGATACAAAAATCTTAATATTCTTCCAAAGGCTATTGAGCGATTTTGATGAATCCACGAAGGTTATGTTGTGCTCCAACTAAGTGTTCTAGAAAAAAGAACCAGTTGCATGTGTTGCACCATAATATTACGTTTCTAGAGAGAAACCAGGTGGGAGAGGCTCTCACATACAAAGTGATCAATGAAATTAGGGAGCACAATGCCTATTTGAAAAATATCGAAGAGGTGAGCCCATAAAGACACTATGAAGGGGCAGTGAAGAAACAGATGATCCAGAGTTTCGTTGGAAGAATTACAAAGAGGGCATCAATCTAGACTAATATATAATGATGGCATCCGTAAATTGAAGCTAAGGCTCGAGGAAGGATACACCAACTAAAGAATTTACATCGTTTGGAGAAGTGTGGCGAAGCTAAAGTATGAAAATTGAAAATCACTATATGTAAAATTTTTAATAACAAAGTTACAAAGGCCCAAGTCCTACCTAGCTAGAATAGTAGGTAGATTGGCTATCGTCTTTATAAACTAAATCCTAAACTCTGAATTGAGATAAGTAAGACACTTATTAGAAGTAAGGTTTAAAATATCGATGTCCACGAAAATGTTGAAGTCTCATTTTTATAGAAATTTCGATCAAAATATTGATGTTGGTGGATATTTTTTAGAAAAGAATAGGAATGAAAAAAATCATAAAAAATATTTTAATAAACAAATAAGTATTTCACCATTTTTAAATTAGTTAAAAGTTCTTTATTACTAAAATTATGTCTACATTAGTGATATTTTATTAATATTTTTTTTTTGACCATGGGCATGTCGATGTCTAACCACTCAAAATGTCAACGAAAATTTAATACCCTTCCTAAGAGTATATAAACATTTGAAAAAATAGCTTAAAATCACATTCCTTTCAAATTATAATTTTCACCGATCTTTATTAACAATTGAAGTAATTAATCTTTATAGCTAGAGAATCATAGATTTCAGTCCTTAAAACTTTTATTTTGGTTTCATTTTCAGGTCATATTTCAAAATTATATGTTTATGTCTCTAAATTTCACATGAGAATAGTTGGGGACATTTCGATTGAATTTCTATATTTCATTATATGGACTTACATATTAACTCGTAGGTATTGAATTTAGCATATCAAATTTGGAACTAATTGATGTGTAAAATTTCAATTACACCATAGGAAAAATGACCAAAAATAACCAAATCAACCGTGAAGGTTGGGAGGCCCCAACAGAATATATGTAAAAACAAAAGATCACAATCTCCTCTCCAATTCCTTTTTTTTTTTTAGTAAGTTTTTTCTTCTCCAATTATTTTATACATCAATATTGATTTAAATACTATTTTATTCGGGTAATTTTTATCCATGTTCTTTTAAAAAATCTATTTTAATTTCTATACATTTTAAACTTATGTTGTATTACCGTTGAGCTATGCTCGCTTTGGTAGATATGTATCTTTTAAATGCCTATTTTGATCATTTCTATAATTTTGAAAAGTAATTATTTTATTATTTTTATTTACAAAATTTTTAATACAAATGGAATATTTTTATTAATTTATTGACATTTCAATAAATTTAGTAACAAATTTGTGATGGAAAGTGTGATTGAAAATGTTAGGTTTCATTTCAATAAAAATGAAATGTCCTCCAAATTTTTTACACAAGATATTATTTTTATTCATTTTCCATTTTAGTATAGACACTCTCATTTTATGGCTACATTTAAATAAATTTAGTAATGAAACATGTCATGCTAAAATTTTGATAGAAATAAATGAGAATAAAATATAAATACACATCTCTAACAATATCAAACAAACAAAAAAAGGAAGGAAAAGAAAATGAGTTAGGAAATATTAAAAAAATATATATATTCTTTTTATAAATGAAGTCCCATTTAAATCAATGTTACAAAATTTTCTATATTTTTTTACAACTAAACATCACATCACATCACAATTCTATTTTATTTTAATGAAAAAAATTGAAAGAATATGAGTTTTTTGACATAATTTTATTAGGTTAATGACAAAAACAAAACTTTTGAAACCATGGTGCCTATTTAGCTTATAGAAGTTTCTCTTTAGTTCATATATTTTAAAATTTTTTTATAAGGTTGGTGAGCTTTTCAAAATTTTGTTTAATATGTCTTTATTATTAAGTCTTATGTGGCATCACTATTTATAAAAACACAACATTAAGTTTAAATGATATTATTTTAATTTAATCAATTAATTAACTTTTTTTAAAAAATTGGCTTTTACTCATAAATCTGTGAGGTGGTCTTTTACCGTAAACTTTCAATTACATCAAATTAAACTCTTACAAGTTTACTTTTTGTTTCATTTCTCCTCTTCCCTTGATAGTTTAACAAAAGTCAAACCTAACTTATTACTTTAAATGACAATCAGAATTTGCTCAAAATTAAATTTAATGACGACCCAAATTTAAAAATTGAGCAAAACTCACAAAATTGATATGCTTTCCATCTAGATAAAAAAAGACATATATTTTTTTATCATTTTATTATTATTTATTTTACGAGAGAACGTAGATTTGAACTCATTTTTAGTGGAGAGGTCCAAGTTGAATTTGCCCTAATTTTATTAAAAAAGTAGTGTTATTTATGGTCAGAGTATGCAAAATGGGATTTTCAATATGCAAAAATATAGGAAAAAAAATTTGCCAATTTCATGTAAGATCCGGTGGGCCACTGCGGATTTGATCAAGTTCATATTTCCATTTATTTTTCATAACCGTTTCTAATTTTAAGAACACCGATAGAGAAGATTATATATTATAAATTTGAATTCGCACTCTTAGACGCAGTCACATTCCACGTACTCGCAGAAGAGTTTTTCTCCTGGATTCCTTCTGGCAGGTTAGGTTGTTTCATCGTCTTCTTTTTTGTGTTAATTTGCTTCTCTGAGTTTTCCTCCTGAGAAAATTGACGAAGAGAAGGAATTCCAGGAAGAACTTCTAGTTTAAGGTGCTCTATTCGTGTTTATCCCCACGGCATTTCGGTGATATTCCTTCAATTTTGTGAAACTATGGCGTTATGCTTGTTTTAGGTTGATGATTGGCTGTTTGGTTCCGAGTTATTGTTCAGTTGTTTTGGAGTTTCATATATTTCTCCTCAACGCTTTATTAGAGAAGTTTATTCGCTATGTTGCAGTTTCTTTTTCTCTGCTAATCTGCGAGTATTCATCATTAGTGTGTGTATGTTGTTTTATTCTTAGAATATTGTTTCTTGTCGCCTTTTATTACTTTCTAGCCTTCTTAGTTTAAAATTTTAGTATTCTTGGTGTACTTCACACAGTATTAAAATGTCAACTGGAATCTGCCTTTTTGACTTGACTTGAGGGATAAAAATAGGGAGTAAATCATATTGTTAAAGTGATCGTAAAAGGGAAAAATCATGAAAGTCCACTGTTCTTCTTTTCTGAATAAAAGAACACGTCTTAAACTCTATTTTTAGGGTGTTTAGGAGCTATGTCTAAAAATAGTGTTCGGTCTTAAAGATATT